CTTTCGTCCGTTTTCTTGATTGTTAGCCTTATTTTCGTTGTAATGATGATACCTTGCTATGATGATGTTTCGTCATATGACAGACGAAAACTTAGCACCTTTTTACTGTAATCAAAGGAGATTAACTAGGAAACAGCGTCAACATGAATGTTCCAGTAAAGCCAATCGACAGTTTGTGAAGAGAAATCCCCTATCGTCTTCTGGTGGTATCGACTTTGGAATCTCTATACCAAACGCTTTCACTCGAAATGGAAGTAAGCTTAACAAATACAGACATTTATCCTACCTCGCAGTCAGCAATGTTGCTGACAGGCGTCATGCTTAGCGCCGGGCCACAACTTGTCCAAGGGAAAAATAAATTCAATTCTCTTGAATAATTTTCTTTTCATCGATTGTTCTATCGCTCCTACCCCCGTGCGATGGAGCTTTTGACGCTTTATCCTTAGCCCTAAATCTGACCTCATATTACCTATTTATGCTCGGTTGGTGGTGGTCACTGAAGCTTTTTAACATGTACCATTCAGACGGCTTAGTCCTGGAAGACTAGACGACAGCTATGACACAGAACAGATTACAAGATATATTTATCAAAGGCTACCTTAAAATACGAAAAGATCTGTTGATGAACCTCTTCATCACAGAAATGCACATACATACATACATTTATACACACTTTCACTTGAAACGGAAGTGCGCTCAGCTATTCATAATCAAGACTATTTAGCAGTTAATATAGGAAATTCACGGATTCGGCTTTCATACAATTAGCATGGTTGCCAAGCTTTGGACTATAACTTGATCATTAGTCGACCTAGCAATAGAAAATTCTGGCAGAGGCTTCGTTTGGCGGTGTCCTGAAGTGTTGTGTGTGGACAACCAGTAAAGGCTTTCGTATTTAAAAGGGCTGAGTGTGCTGCCTTACTTCAGTCTCATCACCATACAAGTCTTACATTCTCTAGAGCCAAGTTATTTGACCTCGAAGCAGGCAAGTCTATACTCAGATTCTCTCGCAAGAATCCAAATATTGAACCCTGAGTCATGAAATAGCTACTTCGTATTCTGGACCAATTAGTTTTTTAGATCAAGACACAAATACACTTTATTTAAGCATTTTAATCCGATCTATATAGTGTGAATTTACTGTTTTTTTTTGAATCTACAAATATTACAAAGTAGTATCATTTGTTTTTTGTTTTTTGTTCAGAATTCATTTCCTGCCTCTCAGCCTGAAAAGATGCAAGATCTCAAATCGACTGTGGACCTATTGACAAGCATCACATTTTTCCGAATGAAGGTCGGTGCAAATAAAATTTCATCCCAATAATTGCTCTTAATGAGTCAACTGATAGCAAAATCTGGACGCTTTATTTAGTCTTATTCGGGAATTATCAATTTTTTCTTAACCCAAGCCTGGTTGGTTAAGTAGGATGACTTTTTTTGGGTATCATACATTTTATGGTGAGGTCAGGTGAGGTTGGATGAGTTGAGTTGAATTGAGTTAAGTTGTCACTTGATGCTCGACTGTTGGTGCTCATTGAAGATGTCGGGCATGTGTAATTTATCTTATGATGCGATTAAATGTCTTTGCCTTTGTGACAGGCACAAACTAAAGATTTTCAAGCATTAAGTAGCCAAAAGGTCCTGGGCTTAAAGTGCCGCATAGGCACTCGATTGCTTTTGTGGCTAGTCTCCAAGCCCTGATCTTATTTTCCTCCGTCAACTTTACAGTCTTGTTTTGAGGACAAATTACTCAAGGGAGTTAATCAATTATTCTAAATTTGTTTGAATTGAGACAAAACTCGACAGTTTATGGGTTCTCAGGTGGGCAATATAATTGCCTACCCCACCTCTGAACGCCAATCTTTCACCTCTGCACTCATCATGTCTTTATTTTCATCTACCTTTTCCTCGCCCTCCACTTCCATCTCGACGCACCCAATCTCTCTTTTGCCTCCTCACCCGGTCGACCACTGGGACCACAGGTTCAAGAGCTGGCTAGCCCGCCACGAGCCAATCAGGTTGTGCGTGAATGCGCCCAAGCCTGTATGCACACGACCTACCAATTTCTGCGTGACAACTGCAATGACGTTTACGCTCGGCAATTTCAGGTGAACAGCCTCGTTCGATGAATTTTGGCCATTTCCTCTTAATTTTCTTTTTATTATTATTTACTATATTCTCCTCCAATTTGATCAGTAGTTGAAAAGATGCACTTTTTATGATGGTGCTTACTCGAATATCCATATTT